TCATCCCCCTCCTGAGATGGAATTTTGTTTACGCCGGGCGTGTTCGCTCAGTTTCGGATTCAATCGTCTACGAATCACATAGGAATCGTATACGGATCGAATCATGGCCACGTTCGAGCTCAAGTACATGCGTTTAGCTGAGATCATGATCGGCCGTCTGTGATCGGACCGATCGCAACCGCTTTTTCAGATTCCCATTGGGCGGTTTGGGAGCTTATTGCACCCAGAAGCGCTCTTTTGATCTCGTCCTTAATCGAAACCTGATTGAAACGACCCAAAAGCATCGCAACCATTTCGGACCGATCGCAACTGGTTGCGATCGGTCCGAAGTGGTTGGCCTCCAAGATGATCCCAAGAAGCCTTCCAGGGTTACCAAGAGGGTTCAAAGAGGGCCCTGGCAGCAGCAGCAGCAGCAGCAGAAGCAGCAGCCCCAGCAGCAGCAGCCTGGCAGCAGCAGCAGTAGCCGCAAGAATACCTGTAGATGGTTCCATGGGCCCTCGTCCGCGTCGTTCTCATCCTAGTCCTCGTCCTCCTCCTCCTCCCCCTCATCCGCGTCCTCGTCCTCCTCGTACTCCTCGTCCTCATCCTCCTCGTCGTCCTCCTCCTCCTCTTCCTCTTCCTCCTGCTCCTGCTCCTCCTGCCCCTGCCCTTCCTCCCTCCCCTCCTCCTCCTCCTCCTCACTCCCTCCTCCTCCTCCTCTTCCTCCTCTTCCTCCTCCTCCCTCTCCTCCTCCTCCTCCTCCTCCTCCTCCTCCTCCTCCTCCTCCTCCTCCTCCTCCTCCCTCCTCCTCCTCCTCATCCTCATCCTCATCCTCATCCTCCTCATCCTCCTCCTCCTCCTCTTCCTCCTCCTCCTCCTCCTCCTCCTCCTCCTCCTCCTCCTCCTCCCCCTCCTGCGATGGAATTTTGTTTACACCGGGCGTTTTCTCTCAAGTTCGGTTTCAATTGTCTACGAATCACATAGGAATCGTATACGGATCATGGCCACGTTCGAGCTCAAGTACATGCGTTTAGCTGAGATCATGATCGGCCGTCTGTGATCGGACCGATCGCAACCGCTTTTTCAGATTCCCATTGGGCGGCTTGGGAGCTTATTGCACCCAGAAGCGCTCTTATGATCTCGTCCTTAATCAAAACCTGATTGAAACGACCCAAGAACATCGCAACCACTTCGGACCGATCGCAACTGGCTGTGATCGGTCCGAAGTGGTTGGCCTCCAAGATGATCCCAAAGAAGCCTTCCAGGGTTACCAAGAGGATTCAAAGAGGGCCCCGGCAGCAGCAGCAGCAGAAGCAGCAGCCGCAGCAGCAGCAGCCTGGCAGCAGCAGCAGCAGTAGCCTCAAGAATACCTCTAGATGGTTCCATGAGCCCTCGTCCGCGTCGTTCTCATCCTAGTCCTCGTCCTCCTCATCATCGTCCTCATCCGCGTCCTCGTTCTCCTCGTCCTCATCCTCCTCGTCCTCCTCCTCCTCCTCTTCCCCTCGCCCCCACGCGGCACCCAGGGATGGCCCGAGGAGGGCTTCCAAGGCCACCCCCCTGCTCGCTTTGTTTCCCTAGATGTGTCTCTTCTTCCCCTTACCCGTCAGCTCTGAAAGCCAGGGTTTCTGAATAGGCTGGTGGGGATACGCGAAGCGTGAAGAATTGTTTCTTCTTCGAGCGCCCCGGGTCGGCGGCCGCCGGCGCCGACACGAACCGCGTGTACTTGGTCACCCCGGAGGCGCGCGCCTGCAGGGCCACGACGAGGGCGTCGATGCCGGTGATGCCAGAGTGCGACGAGTCGCCCGTGACGTAGACGGGCACCCCGTCCAGGTCGCCCGCCACGGTCGCAGTCGGCGCGTCGGTCACGACCACAGCGGAGACGAGGGACTTGTACGTCGTCGCAAACGCCAGGGCGCCCACGCCACCCTCAGAGGTGCCACTCACGACCACCTTGTCAGCGTCGCCATTGAAGGTAGCGATGACGGACGCGGCGATGTCCTTGGCCTTCAGGAGGCAATCGGAGGTCCATCCTGGGGTCGCACTTCCAGTCCAGCACTGGGGCATGATGACAAGGCCAGGGAACGTGTCGGCAAAAGTGCAGTCGGCCATGGGGCAGCCCGTGTCCGAGGTCGTACCCAGGTAGTACGGGGCCGAGGAGGTCTCATCGTACGCCATCGAGTAGCTCTGGGTGCTGTCGAGGCACCAGCAAGAGCGATTGTCGAACGACGTGCTTTGGTTCCTGGCCAGCATTCGGGCAAAGCCCTGCGAGTTCTTCAGGGTCCACTTGCGCTCCCCGTGGCTGTGCAGGTCGATGTGCACCGGGTACGGATGCAGCGAGTTGTTGTTCCACTTCGGGGGAAGGTACAGCTGGTACGACATGCCGTTGATGGCAGTCATGACGCGGCGGGCGCCGAGGCCGGCGTGCGGGAAAGTAATGGGGTCCGGCTCCTTCCACTCCGACTGGGTTGAGAAATTCCACGGGACCGAGCACGCATCCGACACCGACATGGGTGGGCCCAGC